CGATTATATCACGCACCAGGCTCCGATGGCTGGGCCACGTGTTGCGCATGCCAGCACACCGACTCCCGCGACGTGCATTGTTTGCGCGTTGTGGGTGCGGTTGGAAGAGGAGTAGGGGAGGCCAAGTGATGACTTGGTCGCGAGAAATGAAAACCCTCACTTCGAAGTTGGCGTCGGTTGGTGCATCCCGACTGCCTGGCTGGGGTCCTAAGGACGGTGAACACGTTTGGCTGGACACACTTGCTGATATGGCTAGGAGCCGGCCCCAATGGCGTTTGTGTTGTGAGTTCCTTTGTCCATCCCCCTCCTGTTTAGCATCCCCCTCCAATCACGATCTCAATCGTTAGGCATAATATGACTTTCTTTTACGGCAGCCAGCTGTTAGCTCTCCGGAACGATGTCCATCCGTTACTGGGGACTCAGCGGGCGTGCCACTGTTTGTTTGTTTTTTCTTTTCTTGCCTTTTGTATTGCGGCACAATAGCTGAGGTGTTTTCCACCTCCAGCTAACGTGTAATGATGATGATGATGATGATGTGGTGTTTGAGTATAAGGCACGTATTGTGTTCACATATTTCGTGGAACCACCTTTCTGCGCAAGTATTTCGCACAGAATCGATCGACTAATTCCAACTCACTCTTGAAATCAAGGTACACTGCTATTGTCGGTCTGCTGTATGCGTGGCGCTGCTCTAGAACCTCTCGCAGAGTGAATATATGGCCTAAACAGCCACACCCTGGGAGGAAACCGGACTGCTCTTCCGTAATACGAGGTTCCCGTTCCGCACTGAGGCGACGAACGAGAATCGAGGCCAGTAATGTTGTCACAACTGGCGTTAGACTAATACCCCTGTGGTTAGAATAGTCTGTGCGACTGCCCTTCTTGTATATTGCCACTATAATCGATTCGCTCCAGTTAACTGGGACTCGCTTCCAGATGCGTTCGAAGAGGGAGCTCAGGACTTTGCAGTGGACCTCACCTTCATCCTTAAATAGTGCAGATGGGAGGAAATCCGGGCGATCAGCACGAAAAGAATTCAGGGCTGTGATCACGTTTCGGACCTCGGCCTCCGATGGAGGCTTTAAACTAACCGTCCATGGCTCGTCCTGCATCACCTAAGTAGGAAGAGATCCTGGAGCAGCGGGCCAGCTGAACTGATCTTGATATTGTTCTGCCCAACGAGCCATACGGCGCTCCTTATTGTGTATCAGTGCACCCGCGCTGCCTCCGATTGTCTCACTGACGCCTGGTTTCCTGGGACAGGTGGTGCGGATTAGTTGGAAGTGCTTGTGCTAACTGCCTACTGCTCCTACCTCCTCCATTTATTGCGCCCGACTGGTTCACCAGGCTTCCTTGTCAGCATGTAGGTTCCGGTTTAGTTCGCGGCTAATAGTCCGTCTGATTACCAGCCTGGAGGTTTCTTCTGGATTTCTACAGGTTCACCGACCTCCTGGATATCCAGTGACTGATGCGGTGACGATTGTTATTGCCGCAAGCTGAGGCTCCTGCATGGCGCATGGTGGCCGAGATCTCATTCCATTGAAGCTCAGTGTCAGTAGGATAACGGAGCGAATGTTCGGTACGCAGTGCGTCTTGATAGGCTTGCCTGACCGGGGGCTGCGACAATTTCTCAGTTGCCAATCGGAGGAGACGCTTGGTGCGCTTTCCGGTAGAGTGTATGGAGAAACGACAGGGTACCAAGGCATGATCAAAGCCGACGCAGGTATTCCAGTACGAGCGGCAATCCAGGATAGAACCACGCCACCTGTACCTTATGGCTAAATGTTCAGTTTGGTTCCATCGTTGGCCCCCTACATGCGGACGCCAAGTGTTACTTCGGCGCTCACTGTCTAAAAGCAGTGCTACTAAGAAGTGACTGGTACTCCACATACAGTTGCAGCAGACACTCACCGATGTCAGTCCGTTCTGAGTTAAGCACATAATTGCCAGCCAGCTGAGTTTCTGAACTGCTCAGACGTCCTACTTGTTCGTGCATATCGCCAGCAAGTACTGTAATATCTGAACTAGTAGGACTGCGTAGTAGCGCGTTCAGTTCGTGATAGAATGCGTACTTGACAGCACTTGAGCTGAAGTCGGTGGGAACGTAAGCGGAAATCACAAACGAACAGCTTTCTGTACTACTTCGTGAATCAACCTTAGCTGTTCAACGGAATCCAATTAACCAACTTTGGCTTAGCCCTGGAGCTTAGGATGATACCTATGCCAGCTTGACCGTTGAGTGGTGCACCGGCGTCTCCGGATGCATGCAGCCAGTAGCGACAGGACAAATCTGGCGCAGTTAATTCAACAACCCCAGTAGGGTCATTGATCCTAGTTTCGGACACACAACACACATCAATACCCAGTATGTCCAAGATGCGTGCGAGTGCAACCTGTTGACTTATTTGTCTTAGAGTGCGGACGTTGAACGTCGCCATGGAAACGGGACAGCATGGCCTTATAAGGGACTGATGCCGCTAGGTGTACGGTGGGTTTGTGGGAACTTGGCTGCAGTTGGTTCTACTCCAGTGACACTTCGGTTGCTATCACTGGGAATTATGGACGGAAGTTTGGTAATGGGGATCGGGATGGAGGCAAGAGAAACAGGTGGAAAATATTGATGAGAGATGTTAGCAGTAGCATGTTTTCGCTTAACTGCCCTGCTGTATGCAGCAGATAAGACAACCTTTGATAATCTGCGCGACGACCGATGCAAGATGATGTTTATGTTTGAAGAAAACATCCTGGTTGTATGTGGGCTGAGATACTGCCAGGCGCCCAGACTTGAACAGGAGGACGATTCGGATCCACATCCAAAGCCTTTGGCTAAAAAGCCTGTCCGCAAGGCAGCGGGGAGGTGAAAGTGATTTAGTTTTACAGAAATGGACGCCATCCCATTTCAACCCCCCAACCTGGAGAACCAGGAGTCTGTCTGACGTCTAACCATTGACTAACGTGGTAGCAGTAGGTCTCAAGGGTCCCGAAGGCACCACCCAGTATAGCTCAATGGGTCAAGGAGGTACGAAAACCATCGCACCACGGTAAGGTCCACTCTCGTTGCGCCGGTGCTTTCGTAGTTTGGATCATATCTGATGGGAACACCGTGTGAGCAATGAGCGTGCTTGACATCTTGTTTATGGCACAGGAAGAGGAATTGGACCTCTCAGCACCGTTATTTCCCGCACCAGGCTCCGATGTCTTGGCTACGTTTTGCGCATGCCACTCCACCGACTCCCCTGAGGTGTAATGTTTGCGCGCCGAAGGTGTGGATGGAAGAAGAAAAGGGGTGGCCAAGCTATTACTTGGTCAAGTGGAATGAAGGCTATTACATCGAAGTTGGCCTCGGTTGGAGCACTTGGCTCCCTGGTTGGGGTCCAAAAGACGATAGATTTGTTTGGCTGGATACACTTTCTGACATGTCTATATGCCAGCCTCTGTGGCGTTCGTGCTGTGCGCTTTTTGTTGTTGTCCCCCCTGCCCGCTTAGCCTCCCCATCCAAACCCGATCTCAATTCATATGCATAATATAATGCCTTTTTACAGCACAATAGCCTGTTGTTAGCTCTCCGGAGCGATGTCCATTCGTTAGTAGTGACTCAGCCGGCGTGTCTTTGTCTTCTATTTCCTTTACTAATGCATTGCGACACAGTGCGTGGGATGTTTTTCACCTCTAGCTATCGTGTGTAATGATGATGTATAAGGAAGACCAACACTTTGCTACCACACGAAGAGCAACAGTCGCGCACGGGTTGGGGATACGGCGAGGCCACCTGCATGTAGCAGACTCGGATCAGGGAGCTTTAAATTACAAGACATGGTTGGCGGCATCCGGTTTCGGATTTGCCTGTCACTGTGGCCAGCCACAGGACGCCTGAGCCTACAGAGGGACCATGGGTGGCTTACGCTGCACCGCCCACAGCTCCAACCACACACCCCATATCCAGTGTAAACCCGAAGGAATAAGACCGGGAGGCATGTGGATGGGAGCCACGTTTCATCAGCGCAGCCGGCCCACACTCCTTCACAGGCAAACACAAGCACACTGTATTTGAGAAATCAAGCGCACACAAGGCGGTGGCTGGACCGTAGTCCGCTCCACACTGAGTGCATGGAACCACTCTTTGAGCCTAGCACGGACACAAGAACTGTGCACCCCGTCCCCTCCAGCAACGACCAACTGTCTCCTGGAGCCAGTATGGACGAGGTAGTGGGTAATAGACAGGTAGGCACCTTGTCAACATGCACATCAAACGCAGCCACATCGGGGATATCAAGCAACAGCCAATCACTTGAAACGACAAGATGAAATGAAATAAATCCAATAATACATACAGATACGGTGGCATAACTCTTCGCTAAATTAGCATATGAAATAATTTGGTTAGCAATGAATCCGCGGTAAGGAAAAAATGTCCACAAATTACTCAAAAATGCCACAAACGCAACAAAATTACCGAAGATAAGCACAATTAGCGTAAACAACGTGGCCAGCTAATAGAAGACTATTGAGATAGGCAAAACAAACCTTATAAACTGGAATGAAATTTATACATCTTAAAGAGACCTAGTTTAAGTGTAAGTTGGTTTAGCCTAACTGCGGTGAAGAAGCATCAAGAATGCAACATCAGCCTCAGCATGGGGCACAATTATAAGACAAAAGCCCTATATAAAAGGCCACTGGCCGACGTTTCATATGAGCCCAGTTATTTCTATCCCGTTTGCATGCAACTGTTTTCACTATCGTTAGTTCCGCATATCTCCTTTATCTATCTAATACGTTTCTGTTTTATCAAATGACTGTTTTTTGAACCCGTTTGCAACGCGTTGCCAACCAGCTCACAGTTTATTTTATCGTTACCATCCTCGAAACTCCTCTTGTGGCTTCGACGTGATATGGGATTTCATGTTGCTTCTCCGTACTTGTTTTGCTTTGAACATCATGCGGCCTCTTGAAAACTGTTCACATTCTGCTTTGCCCCGTTTCTCTTTCTTTCCCCTTAGGTTGTTGGCACCGACAAACATAGCGTTCTGGTTACCAAAGCTGCGACCATCTTGCAACAGCTGGTGCAACACCTCAAATCGGATTTTGCTCAGTATGCCGCGAATAGTCTGTCCGTTTGTCTTGCAAAGTTTAAAGATAGGACTCAAAGTGTGTCACAAGCTCTACGTTCCGTTGCTCGTTCCATGCTAGACACGGTGAGTGGCCTTGTTATTAAGCTACCTTTTCTAGCGCTACCTTTCTCTCTCATGATTGTTTGTCATATGTTTTTGTTCTTACGGATAATCAGCTGCTTTCACGACTGTTTGTTCCTTACCCCATCATGTTAATTCCTTCGTGTACTGCATATCGTGCTGGTTTGATGTATGATTTTTCTCTCTAGCGCCTCTTTACAGGCTTATTCGTAAACACGATCATATTGGTTTACCAAGTCGAATAGTACCATAGTACTCTGTTCGCCCACGACCGTTATGAACCTCAGGAACTATGTGCAAATCCATCTGATCTGGTTTCTTACTTTCTTCTCTCTATTGCTTACTTGTGTTTCTTTGACATCCTTACCAATTATTACCATAACTTAAGTAGCACTCATCGCATCTAAACACAGTAATTTGAAAATTATTACGAATACCTGTAGCTCGGGGTCTGGATGAGAGAGTTGATGTGTTCTCTCTCACAGTAACTTGAGTTATGATTTGGATCCCTCCTTGGATCCAGGGAATACAACCCCGATCAGTTGCGCGAGTGTTTGTTATTGGATAACGGCGGCTGTCGTACTACTTTAGTCCCCAAGACCTATCATCTCCTAGAGTCGGGGTTACTTTCACGCGCCCATCGCGATGGACAATGCTGACGGCTGTGCCCAACTAGTTGGTACACAGTGGGAGTAAGATAAGCATCCTTTTTCCTTGCTGACTAAAGCGACTAGGTGCGGCACAATCTTAGCCCCTCGAAATGCAGGGATGGCGTCTGCTTTCCCCAGTGTTCACTGTTGTAGGTATGGAGCTGCATTGCTGCTGATGGCGCTATTGAAAAGAAGATTTATCTTCACCTTACTAACATCCGATCACCGTTCGCTACTCTGATGCATCTACGTCGTCGTTGGGACGTCTCACTCTTGGTGACAGACAAAGTCTAGTCACTGCGTCCACGCGGCGCTGTTGTACGGATGCTTGTTCTTGCCGATTCAGCCATTCACAAGCGGTGTTTACAGGCAATTGCAGGTATATGTTTTGAACCGCGTTTGTAACGACGATGTTAGACATCACTTTCTTGTCTACAGGTTCCTATCGCCTTGTCGATTGAGATCACTTGATCACATCCTATGCATACCTCGTGATCGGCTACCACGTCGCGCTCTATTCGCTCGCATAAGATCACGCGAGAATAAATCAGTCGGTAGTCAGTCTACTGCCTAGTGTCAAAACCTCAGAGCGCTGACGTACTGGTTAGCTATCGTTGGTTCCGGGCGTCTTCCGAGCTGGAGATCCAATGGTGAAACAAACCACTGGCTAAGAGTCGTTGACGACCTGACGCACAATCCGACTCAGCGGAAGATCTGCATGCATTTATGTCTCGATTTAACTGGTAACCTTGACTGTTGTTAATTAGACACAAACGACATGATGGCATGTAAAAAACGCGTTATTCCTCCTTTTCCCACTTTGTAACGATGGTGGTTATTATGTGTGTTTATTCTGGAGCATTAGATGGCTCTATGTTTATCTTTTGTATATGTAACTATATACTCCTTTACGAGACTTAAACCGGTCTTCACGCTTTCACTTCTTGATGGACTGTGTCCCCTTCTATAACTTGCTTAATCGCGATAGGTGGTGTCTCGTACACAGACTGATTTGATCGCTTCATCTACACTGGAGATAAACCCAAAATAAATGAGCTGTTTTTCTGTAGACGCTACCGATATAGCACCACACACCCAGCCGTGTGCTTCGCAACTGCACTGTCCAACAAAGTATTGTAATACTAGGCTTTCGCGCCACACACTTTCACATCCACTGAGTTGTCACTGTCCTCAATCAGTTAAGGGTTCGCCTCACCTTTTGGCAAACCTCTGCGATATATAAACACGCCAATTATAGCTAGGTTGTGACGACTTGCATAACCCACAGTATAAATCCAAGCTACAGCCTCTGTACCTCAATCAGACTAAAGTGCTGATTGTCTATGATCCCCATCCAATGAATTTTACTTATGCCACTGAGCCATACGCGACGGCAGCGGACCGCCATGACTGATATCTAACTGCGCGGCTGGATGAGCCGCTGTCATTCATGTTATGAGCGTGCAGAGGACAGGGTTGGCCCCCAGAGCAACGACTTCCTTTGCAAGCCGCTACCAGTCGAGATGGCGTGTAAGCTACTAAGGCGATTGCCCATTATTTGTAGGTCACAGGGGGATTTGTTTGGTTTTTTGTGAAGATTTGTCGCAGTTAGACTCAATCAGACAGCCACCACACATCCAGGAAAGCGCTAGACAGCCGTTTCGTCCTATTGGAACTCGTCAGTAGCGCGCATCCGACGAATCCTGCTTGATTCGAACCCACGGCCTTACTTTTGCGAGCCAGCCACGTGTCATTGGCTTCTCTCAGTAAACCCTCTAGTATCACACTTGATCAACAGTTGAATGTATCCTATCTACGCTGACTACATTAGTTTCTTCACTTGTCCATTGACCACTTTTCTCGCTTCGTTCTTTCTGCCAATGCCAACTCGTAATTCGTGGAAGGTATTACGGGATGTTATGAATAATCTGGCCGTAGGGCCAAATTGCGTCGATTCGACGCGGGTCTCTGAATACTGAATAGAAACAGCAAAAGCATATGTCTTTGCAGCTGCTTCTAAAGTCCCTCAGGTACAATGACTTGTTATGTTGGAGAGCATTCGTGATATTTCATATCTGAAAAGTATTTATCCAGGAATTTCTTGAATTCAGACACGGACTTTATCTGGATTGCGTGCGACGGCAAGTTGTTCTATATATTCGCTACCCTCCGTCTAAGCAGAGTTGGTGGGCGACTCGCCTCAAATCCGGTACTACAAGCTTGTACCGATGTCCTCGGATGCTGCTTGGTGTGCGCATATGGAGCAGCGATCTCAACATGAGATAATCACGTAATATCCAGTGCATCATGATGAGGTCAGTCCGCAGTTGACGATAAGAAAGGATGTAAAATCCTAGTTTCTTTCGCCACTTATCGTAGGGATGGGACTGATGGCCACATGCCGTACCCATTCAGTCCTTTGTACCTCACCATGGACCATCGGACAGTATGTGTGAGCTGTATGGTCATATGCTTAAGACGAAGAGGCGAATGGCAAGCTCTTCGAACCAAGTACTGAAACTGCGCTTGAGCGCTCAAAGCATACGAAGTCAGACAACAAGGAAATTCTTAATCCATTGGTGCGGTGAACCACTAACACCGCACAATCTCAATTTGTGGAGGAGGACCTCATGATTCACTTTGTCAAACGCATTATTGAAGTCAATGTAAGTGACGTCGACCGACATCTCTTGATTCAGCGCTTTCAACCATTCGTGCCTCCTTAACAGCAGGTTGGTGATGCTTGAGCGATCTTTCACGAAACCATGCTTTGCGGGCTTCAAGGAACTTTTCGACTCGAGAAACTACAGAAGACCATTCTTCACGATCTTCTCAAGTATCTCAGCCAAAACACCGGTCAGACATATCGTCAGGTAGTTGTCCACTTTGCTTATGTCACCACCTTTCGGTATTGAGTTTACGAAGGACCATTTCCATTCTCCCGGTGGTGTATAGTGACCTGTTAAACAGCTCAGTCACGGAATGCGAAATGATGGTGGATAGGGACTTGAGGATCAATGGGTGGATTTCATCAGTCCTGCTAGGCTTGGTTCCGTCATGACTGACAAGCAGCTGGCGCACCTCTTCAACTCTGCAATCCAGACTGTCTAGTTCGGGACCTCTCGAGCTCTGTACAGATACTTGGTCACTTGCAATTACGGTAGCGAAGTGCGCCGCCAATACATACACACGATCAGTGCTCCAGGTTAGGGGCTGTCCAACTGAGCCCTTCAATACTTACACCTTACTGCAGGCCTCAGGCACCTCTTCAAGTAAGCGAAGACCCTCTTAGGAGTCGTTTTTGCTGCGGCCGCAAGTTACTCTTCGAGGTTTCGGCGCTATCATGTTTTCGCGTTGTTACAGAGAATTCGCTGTCTCTTTTACGTCTCGTACATTTCGTCAGAGTCTTACAACGTGCATTTATTCCAAAGGCTGCTTCGCCGTCTCAGTTTGCTGTACTCCTTTTCCAACCAATGTGGTTTCATCGTTGGTTGAGAGCACCTTTTCATTCAACTCTCCATACATGTATCTCTAACCTCCCGCTCATAGCTTACGTTTCGGCTGTTTTTATATCTCGTTTTCTTCACTTTTCTCAACTAGTGCTTAGCGATGCATCGAGTTTAGTAGCGGAATCATGCTTGAGTATCTGGTTTTTCGTTTTTGACTTTAGCGTTTGGTTTTGTCCGGCTGCTGGAATTTTCACACAGGTTTGTGTAGCTCGTGTCTTTTCACTATTCCCTTAATTTCAGCAATTGCACGTATGATTCAATGTGGAGCATTGTTGCATCGCTCATGTGTGGGCGAATACCGAAAGTTCCTTCATGTTAGTCTCGGAGTTTTACTCTGTGCGACATGGATCCGACACATTGCCAATTTGTTTCGCTGTTCCCCCTCATTCAATCAAACCCATATCGTCAGTTACTTGGGCACTCGTTTCCTAATTCGGCCACTCTTTTGCCTGCTCATATTTTATACTTCCACATTGGGGTATTGGGACCAGAAATACCCTTCCATTTGGAAGGTCAATTTTGGACTACACGTGTGATTGGATTGCGACGTGCAATCTCAATGTGGACTGCGATTCACATTGAACCGCACCTTGGTCACCGCGATCATTGGGACCGCAGCCAAAGCCGATGGAAATTGGGTGTTACCCGCCCAAAAACACCGCACAACCACGACGCGTTTCGATGTCATTTCATCTCATCAGGTGGAGATAGCGGGCGGGTAACACCCAATTTCCATCTGCTTCGGCTACGATCCCATTGATCGCAGTGACCAAGGTTCACTTCATTGTGAACCGCGATCCACATTGTGATTGCGCGTCGCATTCCAATCACACGACGTGTCGTCCACAATTGACCCTCCAGTTATTCTTTCACCGTTGTGCCAAGCGTTGTCCGCCGTGACCCGGTAGCCAAAGGGCTAGACGTTTTGGTGACTATTCCGATGGTCATGGGTTTGAGGCCTGCTATCTCCATTTGATGAGATGAAATGACATCGAAATGCGTCGTGGTTCTGCGGTGTTTTCCGCAGGTAACACCCATTTTCAATTTACCCTTCCATTTGTTGATAAAGCATCAGCGGTCCCAGTAGTTTCTTGGTAGCAGTCTCATGTTATAGGTGCATAGCTTGTGTGAATCACAGAATATGCTGAGCTTCGACAAACCAAATATTCCCATTTGATTGTTCATTATCAAAACCAGAAATCGAAAGGTGGGTGAAGCATTCTTTTCGGATAAACTCTCATCACTCTTACGTTTACATAATGGGTTATATGTAGAAGCGCCGGAAAGCCTTTTCGTGTTGTCTATAATTTGGGTCAGCGCGAGCATTCACCGTCTTTCACAAAAGGCGTGGGATGCGACGGTTGACCGGTCACAGTGTAGGTTCGACCGTGTCCACCCTTACGCAGCCTCATGAACAGCGACTAGACCTAGTCTGTCGGTTTGTCATTCGAGCTGTCCATCTCGGTTTTTTTCGAGTGATTGCGCCTACTATTCTATTTGTTGACTGAGTAGATTACCTGAAACTATGACCTAGATTATCAAATCCATTGTTCAAATTCTGTGTACTCACTACTGAGCTCTTTCCGGCACTGCTACATATAACCCATCCTGTAAACGTGATGATCTGATGGGAGTTTACCTGAAAGCAACTATTCACCCATTTTTCGATTTTTGGCTTTGAGAATGAACAGGTGCATAGTTTGCAACTTACTCGTTACCACGGATTAAGTACCCGAAACGACCATGCAAACTAGAATCAATTTTTCAAGCACATACCGCTCGCAGACGCGAGGGATCACTTTGTGTGCATTCACCTTACCTCCCTACCTAAAGAATTTGGTAGTATCTTCGATGTGTATCGCATTTGCTTTTCCTGTTTTTCCATACTATATACTGAGTTGTTGTTCCATTTTATTCTTCCTATAGCTTGCTCTGGATCCGGCGCTTGCAGTTTTATCTACTTCTCTAAGTAGTCCATCGCCTAACGTTCAGTCCGAGGCGACGGAACTGCTGGCATACTGCTTGATCATACACAGCCGCATGTCCCATACAGCTGACCCCATAACGCAGCCTCAGAGGGTACGCCATGTGAAGCCTTTGTTGCCCATGCTTAAGAAGTTAATGGAACATCGTACTCCTGAATGTCGCGAGGCTGGCATTCAAGCTGTTGCTGCCACTCAGTTGTTTCTCGGTGAGAATTCCAGAGAGTTTAATTCGCTTTACGACGATCTCGATGATCTTCGTAGAACTAAAGTGAACGTTACACTGGAAACGCTGAAATCTACGATTACAGAACGTAATACTGCAACCGCTTGTATTGCGCAACATTCCGAGAGTATCAAGAACTCGAAGAAGTGCAGGAACACGCGTCCACAGACTTCAAACGATGCCTACCGAGATAACGTTTCAGAAGCACCAACTATCAGTATCAAGGGTGCAGGACATACGCACGTTTTACGGGATGAATCGGGCACCAACGATTCAAAGACACCGTCCCAGTTACTTCCTACACGGAAATCGAAGGTTTCCAAGCCAAAGATGAACAAAAAGTTCACTTCACATGAGGAGAATTACGACTCTCCTTCGTCTCCTGAAGTTGCAACTCAGAATGTCAGTGCGTGAGTACATTAGTTTGTTGCCAACATGGTGGCTATATAACAATTAAGATACAGCCACTGCTTTGGCCCTTAGTTTTTCTTCGGCGCTTAGCATTTTAGGTGCAGGAGCACTACGCGCCCTTAAAGTACCATTTCACCTGTTAAGCTTTTGCATTCGATCCCTTGCTTTTGTGTGCTAGTACCCCTCCGGCCCATCGTGCTTAATACACGCTTTTCGATTTGATGAAACATGTTGACTGCTCGCAACACTGCACTCTATGACCGGTTTTGTACTTGTTCACACCGATGAGGCAGTAATGACAAAACCTCGACTCAAACCCAGGACTTTGGATGTCAGCCCGATTTTTGCCCAAAGCAACTCCTTACATTAAGGGGATCCACTAAATCTGGACTCCATTCTTTCAACCACCACGCGTCCTTTCGGGACTTCATTAGAATTTAACCCCCTATTATCCCAGCGGATTTGAGCCCACCGTCAGGCACCTGGGAGACAACAACTTAGGCCAACTGATTGTTGGTGCTTATAGCGACCGGTCATCTCATTGGCTGGGACACTGTGAAGTTAACAATCAGCAACTACAGATGTCGTCGGGATGTCTCTTTCTTGGTACAGGGTCGTGTTTATGATGTCACTGTTTGGGCGGTGTCGCTATATGGAAGCGAGTCATGGCCAGTTCGCGTAGACGACATGCACCGGCTCTGAACCTTCGGCAATGGGTACTTGAGGTGGGTTGCTCGTGTGTGGTGGCAACAACGTATCTGCAACAGTGAAGTCCGACATGGTATCTTAGGAAATGCGAGTATTCCCTTCAACAGGCTGATTTACTGCGTTACTTAAGATGGTTCGGTCGCGTCCTGCGCGTTCTGTGACCACCATTGTTTAACCTAGCTGGATTGTCGCATAAAACCACACACTGTCTCTCGTGTACCCCATCTTCTTCACATGCAACTGCCCTTTACTAAGACATATCGGCCCAACAACAATCTGGTTTCCGTACATGGAAGTCCTTGCCAACAAATTCGCTTACAGAAGCCTTTTTCTGCATCCAGCGAGTATGGGTAGCTTGGTACCTTCAGTGAGTAACTCAAAGCCGATTTCATTGGTGCATGCGTTCTCGGCGTCCTTCCGCTTGCTGTGTCTTGCTTTTTGTTTGATGTCTTCCCGAGTGAAGTCCTTGGAAAAGGTCATCTCAGTTACTGGGTGTGGCCACGAACTCGGCGATGCTCTTGCATTCGTTCCTTCGTTTCGAATCTCTCACTATTCCGTCTGACATTTTAGTTATTCCTCATTTCCCATTATTTCTTATTCATAGTCCTATTGTCACTTTGGTGATGTGTCAAAGTAGCCAGGTCTACCACACCCAAGTATACTAGCTAACTTTGATGAACTGAACTGATTTGTGTCTTGTTTCGATTGCCACCAGATAATGCTCTGAGACACTGCCTTTTGTGACGCTGGCGTGCGATTATTTGGTGTCTTCACCGTGTTCTCTTTTCAGCTCAGAGTAACGTATGGTGCATCATAGTACAATGCAGCATCTCATCTCCACCCATGCGGCACCTGGATATCTGACGAACGAATCGTCGTCATCACCAACAGCAGTACATCAGACATTTGAACTGATGCTTCGCTACCGTATGGCCACTACATCTTAAGATATGCACAGAAATAAGCGGGAGCGAGGAAGGGACGTAGCGTAAAACCTTAATACCATGTGCAATCAGTCAAGCTCAAAGTGCCCACACCTTGTCAACAACATACCGTCACAAGCAGCTGGCTATAGTACAAAGATAAGGCGGCATTCGTAAAACAGCTTCCCTGCGACTTTCACTACCCCGTATCATAATCGGTAATACGCATCAGTTAACTCAGCACCACACACACCTTAAACAGGCAATCCGACTGCGAGACGACAGAAGAGTTCCGGTTTGTACTTTCGCTCTTGTTTACTTGCCAGTAGTATTTGAACTACTCCTCATCGTCATCCGTCCCGTCTGCATGTGTGTGTCTCTATGGCGTTCAAGGTTGTATTCTCTAAGTTTTTTTTGGCACTACCGTTGTGTTGCATGCCTTCTGTCACAAATCGACTGAACTTACTGAACTTGCTTTACCACCACTTCCTCTGAAGCACAGTCAGCAGAATACGAGTGATTGTCACTTGTACTCTTAGATCAGACTGGATCACCCCTAGCTGTTTCTTGAGGAAATCAATATTTATTTGTTGCGATACATCTTGAAAGCACACAGCCACCTATGCGCCTTCTGGTCTCGTCATTTTGTGCTTTAAAACCATTGTCTTGGCATACAGCATGTGTTCATTGTTATTGCTTTCCGCCATTTTTAATCATCTCGGATGACCCACGAAGTTCTCCAGCGCGACCCTGATAAATTCTCAAATTGGGATAAGTGCCGAGTTGTTTGCGTTCGCCACCGACGCGTCTACATGTAGAAACTTGGGACGCACGATCTGCGGACTACCTCAGCAACAAGACTTTTCTTTTCTCGTGCAATCGCTTTAAAATGTTGACCATATTGTTGGCCTGCTGTTGAGAGCACTCAGGAGTTTGGACCCACTTATCTCCCCCAGATGCTGAGGACCTGCATGCACATCCTCGTCGAATACGTTATCTAGGTTTGGCAGCCTTAGTTCAGGGATGATCTCCGAGCGCTCAACGACCCACAACGCCGGACAGCGAAGCATGCCAAGGATTTACGCTATCTTCTATGCCAGTAATAACTGGAGGAACTCGCAGTGTTCAGTGGACGCCGCTGGCGACTACGCGGAGACCTCATAATGTTAGACTAAATGCTGAGGGACTCCAGACACGTATATTGCCACCTTTTGCAACTCAGTCCGATAACTAACATGAGGGGCGATCTCTTAGGATTAGGTCAACAGTGCAATTGTCTAGATTGCTTATGTACTCCTCTTTTCGGATTCGCCAGTCTTGGAACAATCTTACAAATTCAATTACTTGTACTCTAACTCTAGTCATTAGAAAGCATTTGGACATCACCCTTAACTTTCTACACTTTGTCACATGGACGGATACTCCGGAATCTATTCCAGTGAGGTATCTTTGGAATTATGATCCACACTGACTGATTAGCAACCCGGTTGTTTTTAGCAAATGACGTTAGCCACAATAACTTGTTGCGCTGTTATGCATGATAGTTTCCCATTTCAACAATTTCGTTTCTATAATGCTACCTTCCAGCTCTTTTGGTCTTACGCATGTATATTCTTTGTTTTCGCGCTTTTTTCCCTGACTGACCTACGGGATCTGTTAAGCAAATGTTTTTTTAACCGTCGTGATACATTGTTCCGTACTATCTTGCATAAGTGTGCCTCATAATCATTGCTCCTCCCCTGTCATTTGTATACCGCACCCGTTGCAGTTACTTCATCACCGTGCCTATCGATCAGTTGGCCGATGCAGACTGGAAGGTTCGCCTGGTGGCAGCCGAATCAATGAAAAGCAAGATCTCATCGGACATTCCTAGCGAGAACCTGCTCTTGGACATCTTGCATTTTATACTGAAAAGTGATCGTTTACGGGACATCAACTTTCAGGTGATTATATGTTTACCGACCTCTCGGCATTTTGGTACGATTGAGGTTCTCCACTCGGACGAATCGGACACGCCCTACAGTTTAACCAGTCCTATATCAACGCCATATCAAGTGACTTTATTTAAGCTCCCCCACCTATCTTCTGAAGTTGTTTCACGTGCCATCTCGCGATCGTCTCCATACCCAACTGTTTCCTAGCTATTTTATCTCATTATGTTGGCATCGTTACTTTGTTTGTTGTCATCTTCGATAATGACGACAATGCTGCTGTTGATAGCGATGATCGAGCGACGACGGTGCGTTCAAGGGTGATTTTCACATCACTTTTCATACAATTGCCATGTGGCATGCGTCACCATGTACCTGCTAGCCAGGTCACCAGAGCTTCTCCGGTGAGGCCCTGTGGGTCCTACCGTGTGTGTCTGAGTGTCTGAGTCTCATTGCGTTGAGTGTCACCGCTGTCTCGGTTCTCTTTGATATGCCGCTAATCACGCTGTAGCCTTTTCCTCTGCCATTGCGTAGCGTACGTAGTTGCGCCTACATATTGCACGCACAGCCAGCTCTACATATTATACTCCTGATTGGGTTTACTGTTGGTTAATGAGCAGTGGACCATTGATAAGCTCACACCATGATCATTGCGCGTTACCTAAATGCCCGATTTGACCACCTGCCGAAATCCGAACACCTCGGTTTCCGTTTCTGGTTCAACAATTGTATTGATAAATAGGACCGTTTGTTTCGGCTATGATTTGTACTTGCTGATTCGGAGTCGTGCTAGAAGCACTGATGATTGGATGCCGACGATTCAGCACCGGCTTTGTAGTTTATTTTTGTTGGGGCCGCCTTAGCTTCAGGCTTCCAAGCGCTTGCCGCTTTTAGTTTTCAGTATTTGTACTTGCACTTGAGTGAAGGATTGGGTGTAGCGATCACCAATTATCTCTGGAGTCCAATTACTCTACCACACTTTCTCGTTTCGGAGTGAGTTTTGGAATTTGGAGTTCAGGACTCAACAACTTTCTTTTCAATTATTCACCTTGGACCATACATCTCAAGGGAAATCGCTTCGAAACATCCGCGTATAGGGAACAATCCCAACAAGTAACTGATTAGCGATTATTATAATGATGTTAATGTTTCGTGTCTCGGTTCACGTACTATTCATGAGAGTGAGTCTAGCACTATCTCCCCTTCTTCATTCTCGGACTTTAACTCAACTGAGCCTATGAAAATCAGTGGTGTTGTTTGCATTAGTTAACTTAAGTGCACCATTTCCTTGCTAACTTACAAACGTTGCTTGCTCTATCTTCATCATCTTTATGCCATCGGTGTTCTATCGATAATGTAAGTCGCTTGGATACAGTTTCATTATAGAAGGATTTGGTGGCATGCAGTATCTGTATTGCACCCATCTAACTTGCATTTTATTTAGCTCGGTTGTATTCCATGACTGCTTCACCTGTTGCCTACTACGCTTTTGTCCTGTTCGCGACCTATGCTACCCTTGCTACTTTCACAAGTTGATTCTAGCACGGTGACATGCGGTAACGGTGGGTTGCGACCCCTTTCTTATATGTCTGTGATTCACATTTCTATTTAAGCTCCGTGGTATTGCTATCCAGACTACGCGAAGCCACTTCCATCTCTTTTCCTACGTAGATTCTGTTTCTTGAAATTTTTCGTGGATTACATGCCTTTTTCTGGACCTGCTGCCCAACACTGGCACGACGCTTAGATAGATGGTGCATCTCTGGATAAAAGTTCACTCTATTCATGACCTCATCCGCCTTAGGCTTGTATGCATTTGTGTCAATTGACGCCATTTCGGAGTCTTCCGAACGAATTGATTTGTTGCCACGGATCTACACTGGGATCGCAAATTGTTGGGTATATTTCCAGTTCCGGCTTAGTCGTTTTGAGTCCGTTGGATACGCGTGAATCAATGCCTCCAAGCGCTTAGTCGCTTACAGTACCTTTACAGTACGCTTTCTCGCTTTGGTGTAAAGTTTCATATTTGGGGCACATAACTCAACGGTCTTCCCGTGAACACATTGGACCGTGCATATCAAGCAAAATCGCTCTGGAAAATCCGTGGAAAGTGAATAATCTCGACAATTAACTGACTAGCAGTTATCATGGTGTTATCATGATGTTCTATTCCACATGTTAATCGTGAGAGTGATCATAGTTATATTTCTGCTTGTTTGTCCGCCATACTGAACTTAGATGAGCTTACGGGAAGGTTAGAGGCGGAAACGCAGATACGCCGTCCAGAAGTTGAATTAGAAATAGCCAATCATCCGGATAGATTTAGGAGAAGATAAAGTCCATTGTGATGGAACGTTAGTGTCATAGTATATTTCATCGTAGAGGAATCAGCACACAGTGACACTTGTTTAGGAGCGCCGAATGGCTGCCCCCGTGGCGGACGATGACAGATCGTTATCAAATAGCTTATCACAACAGCAAAGTACACAGCTACATCTGCCAACGGTTGAGTATTTGGATGACAGCCATGCCACTTGGAAATTCGCTAAACAGTTTGAACACTTCTTCGAAAGCCGAATGTTTGACACTGAACTGCAGGACTTACTTGGTGCATTGTTGCTGTGGTCATGCCCAAGAGGCCATCAGCGAATGTGTGATATTGCCACCTGGCAATGCTTAAGGTAAAGCAAGAGACGTTCTTCGAGAATCTGCACCTACCTCGGACATCAGAAGATCGAACCGGTGCAGTTTTAAGCAGCGACACGGAGAGACTGCAGTTAATACCCCATCGCATTCTTACTCTTTTCTACCACCATCAGCTCTGCATGCCTAACTTCACCTATAGGAGATGGTGTCTACAATACACCCTAACGACAAGTCATCACTGTTTTACTGCACCTCTTATTTGTGCATCATTCCACCTGGTAAGCACATTGATGGCATTCGCTTCCCTATTTCTATATCTGTCTATTGCATATATTGCTTATGCCCACTCTTCTGACTAAATTTATAGCTATCATTTAGATTCATGTATACACGTTCAGAAACCACCGATAGTTTTTATTAGTTACTTATGATCGTACCTGCGATTTCCCATAACTTGACGAATATGGCTGTTAGTCTTATCCTCAATCCAAACCCATGTACGTTCGCAGTTTTATTATTCATGAGGACTAATGTTTCTCTATTCATTTTGTGATAGTTCTTACACAAGTGTGGACAAATGCACATGAGTGTACATAGTTCTGCTAGATTTAAACCGCCATTGTGCAATTTTCAATACCGAGGTCGAGGGAGCATATAATGTACTCTGTCTTCTCGTTCGGGCTAAACTCGACTATCTGTCTGTTGGACGTACACTTGACACATGAAACCTCCCGTGTAATATGCAATGCCTGGCTGTGCATGATGTGAACGTGGTCAAGGTGCCTACCTGTCTATTACCCTCTACCTCGACCGATTCTCTGTTGTTGTTGTTATTGTTGTTGTTGTTGTCGTCGTCGTCGTTCATGACGATGATGATGATGATGCTGATGATACGTGTCTGTTTACTGGACTCATTTTCGAAGTACTTTTAACGTACCAAATGGCATTTGGTGTACTCGCTGTGTGGTTGGATTGCGACTCGCATTCTCTATTCAGACCTCGGTCCTAAGTGGATCTCGGTCATTACGATCACAAGGACCGTAACCGAATTGATGGTTCGGTGTTGCTCCTCCCATGACCGGTTTCGTCCTCCTTTGGACTCATCAGATGGAGATACCCTGAGCTGGGGTGGACCTCGAGGTATAGTGTTCTAAGCTTGACGCCCTGACCACTATGGCTCCTAGGTCCGCGAGCAACGTTTGGCACAGCGGTAAAGTGTTCCAAGTGGCATTTGGTGTACTCGCTGTGTGGTTGGATTGCGACTCGCAATTTCCACCACCTTTCCACTTTCCACCACCTCAGGTATTTTTGCTAACATAGATGCTTGAGCCATTGCTTTCCGACCTACCGCTCTTAGGTGATTTGAATACTGAATATTGCAATTCGAGAGCGTGAAGATTTAAATCTGTGTTGCTCCGTCGCAGTTCGATTGGGAACCTACACGGCATCACGTCGCTAATCCTGCGCGGTGGCAGCATATTACAGCTGAACTACATCTTCACCGAGTGCGATACGCTCCCTCTACCTTTAATCCGACAAGTAGACATCGAGGAATCTCTTAAATTCCGACACCGATTTCATCTTGACTATTGTCTCCGGCAACTTGTCCCAATATTTCACCACTCGACGTTCGAAGCATGGAGGGTAAGCGATGCGCTTCAAATCCAGTACCGCCAGTTTGTACCGGTGTTCGCATGTTCTGCTTAGTGCGCGAACGGCCTCTGTTGAGGCCGCTGCTGCACGGCCTCATCACTTCCCACTTGAGTGGGAAGGGTTCCGGTAGCAGGGAGCCGACTGAATTAATGTCAAAAGTGTTCTGCCCAATGGGCCTCACGGCGCTACTTATTGTGAATCAAGGCACCCGCGCAGGTTTTCTGGGACCAGTTGTGCAAATCAGTTGGGAAAGCTTGCGATAATTGCTTCCTACTCTAGCTTCCTCCATTTTTAAGGCCTATTGGCCCACCAGGATTCCTTGCCTGCCTTTAGACTCCGCTTTAGTTCGCGCCTAATAGTCCGTCTGGTTACATTGTGCTCAGCCGGGAGTTTTCTTCTGGATTTAAACTTGTTCACCGATCTCTCAGATATCCAGTGATTGGCGTGGTGGCGATTAGCACGGCTGCAAGCAAAGACCTCTGCTTCCGGTATGGCAGTCAGATCCTATTTCACTGGAGCTCAGTGTTATTAGGACAATAGAGCAAAAGTTTGGTACGCAGAGCAATCTGTTAGGCTTGCCCGACCGAGCGCTGAGATAACTACTCATCCATCATCATTTGGGTGGCGCGCTTGGTACGTCTACCGGTAAAACTCATGGAATAACGACAGGGTATCAAGCCATGATCAGAGTCGACAATCCAACATGGAACCAATTGTAACTTATGTCCGCACCTATCGCTGACCACCTATAGGGGGAGGACACATGACGCTTCACAGCCCATTGTTTCTGAATGCGGTGCTACTAAGATGCTGCCGGTGCTCCGCAAACATTCGTAACAGACGCTCGCCGTTGTCCGTACGGTCGGAGTTTAGTCCATACTTACCACCTAGCTGAGCTTCTGAATAGCTCGGAGGACGTATTTGCTTATAATTTTCCCCTCAACGACAACGATATCTAAAATGCTAACCTCGAAGCAGCGTATTCAGTTCGTGGTATAATGTGTCATTGGCAGCGCAAGAACTGCGGTTGGTGGTGGCATAAACGGCAACGGCGAACAACCAGCATCTATTACTTCGTGAATCAACCTTAGTTGATGTCATCAAACGGGCTGCGCACAAACGGCTGCTCTCGGAAATCCACTCAACCAGCGATGACTTGGCTTTGGGTCCAAGATGAATACCCCTTAGTTTGACTAGCGGTTGCCCCATCAGCTTCTTCGGATGCGTACAATCAAAATCGAGAGTAGAAGCCGGGTGCAGTTAATTTAACAAATCCATGAGGTTCATTGACCGTTGCTTCGGTCATACAGCACACGTCAATACCAAGTGTGTTTAACTTGTGTGCGGGTGCTGACTATTGACCTGTTAGTCTTAGAGTGCAGACTTTGAATTCCGTTGACGAAACTGGACAGCCTGACCTTATAACGGCCGTTGGCGATCGGTATTCAGTTGGGTGGTGCGGGAAGGTAGCGGCATATGGTATGACTCCAGTATGATTGCGGCTGCTGTCAATTTAGCTTGGAATTGTAGTAGGAAGGCTAGTAGTGGGGGTTGAGATGAGAGTAGGTGAAATAGGTGGTAAAGAAAGAAGGGAGATATTCACAGTTGCATGTTTAGCTTTTCTGCTCGACTGTGTGCAGCAGATAAGTCGACTCCTGATAAGCTGCGCGACGGCGGATGCAGGATATCATTGGAGTTTAATGAATTAGTCATGATTTTACGTGGACTTTGATGCTGCCATGGCACACAGACCTAGACAGGAGGAGTATTAGTGTCCTCAACCGAAGCCTTAGGCTCAGTAGCCTGTCCGCAGGGCAGCTGAGGTGTACCAATGATTTGCTTCTACTGTAATGGATGCCATTCCTTCTCCAACCCCATCTTGGGGACCAGGAGACTGATTTTGTCAGACCTCTAACCATTGACCAGCCTGACAGGAGTAGCTCTCGAGCGATCCGGGGGCACACCCAGTATGGATCAATGGGTCGTAGAGGTACACTAACCGTCGCACCACTTCAGCGGCCAGCGTCGTTGCGGCGGAAACCGACACGGTCGAAGAATCAGACCGGACGGAGCGGATAAGCATCATTGACTTCTTATTTTCCCTGTATCTGTTAACATCTCCAGATACTTATACGGCAGTTATAGGGCCGAAAATCACGAGTACGCCATTACTTAAGCCGGCTAAATTTCTCCGTTGTTTTACCTATTCATCGATTCGTCATCTTTGACTCTGCTTAACTGGTCACACAAACGATGGTCATCCGGCAAATGATAGGCGTGATGTAACCAAAGTTAACAGTTCATCTTTAGCAACCAAGTGTCCGATGCTTTGAGGGAAACGATAATTGACATTTACCAAATCGAGTTAATCGTTCAACACAAACGGTGTAATATTCACTCGTCCGGTTAACCGTCCATAACATGGAGCGATATCTCCTCGGTCAAATTAGTTTTGCGTATGTTATGAGGGTGATGACTCTGAAGCGGATCTCTTCATGGATGCAGTTTTTTCACACTGTACAAGAAAACCCAGCTACGGCGGACACTTTCTTCCCTTCTCAGGAGTATCATATTCACCGTCCATACGCTCCATCAAATGCACGATTTGCTTTTCAAACTTTTTAACCACGACTGACTTTTTTATCATCTATATTAACTCTCTCACTACTATTTTTATTTCCATACTGCTGTATCACTCTGATAAAAATGCTGTGTTCAGAACTCTTAACTACACGAAATACCTTCACTGTCCTGTCTATTCGTCCACACTTGCTTGAGCCATTGACAAATGAACCTTGCTCTGCTGTTTATTACCCATTGTGTTGGCTAATGAGGCTTAATCGATTACAGTTCATTCTGTGAATTCAGATCCACGGAGCTTCATTCACCATCCTGATGACCGGGATTAGCGGGGACTGTTTAGTGGCTGAATTTTGCGGCTTATGCACCCAATTTTTGTTTTTATTGGGACTAGGGGCCTTGCCTACTGTCTCGTAAAGATTGTTTGGTACTCCCTATTGAACAAATTCCCATCCCGTATCTACTCAATGAAATGTGACACTGCTTTTGCACACACTCAACATGCATTGCCTTTCTTTAGCATTCACGCATTTATTACACGCACCTCCTTCTGATCCATAGGTTCGCTGTACCTTACTGGATATCGTCAACTTGCTCCTGTTATCTTTGAAACGCAGGCAGCGTTTTTTGACGGATCGTTTAGTTCAACCTTTGTGCGAGCAATTGGTTCCGAACTTACCGGATTCGAAGGCTCGGAAATTCGCCACAGATGCCCTAAATCTGATCGCCATGCTTTCAGCACCAAATGTGCTCTCGACTTATCTCTTCCCCATCATCCTTGGTTTGAAAAACCCCGTCGTTCACACTGCATCGCTGAAGTGGTTAGCCTCAGCGGTTCGAAGTTTATACTTGAGGTTCGTCTGTTTCCGATTTTCACCCCATTTTGGGTGATTGCATTTTGTCTTTCGTCGTCTACTTTGGGCCTGTATACCTGTAAACCAATCATATATGTCGACGACCACTGTCATACTCTGTCCATAACGTGATGAATGACTCCACCTCGAATGCCCTTGCCGCATTGCCGACGAAGTCGCTGCGAATGCTCAGCTCTTGTACATGCTGAGGCACGCGCATAGCTGTAAATCTGGTGGATTTGTCACTTAGTTTACTCTTGTCTGTTGTGGACTACTCTACTCTTAAAGCGAATCACTGGCGGTGGTTGAGCATTCATGATGGTCAGTTGACGTGCAAACGACGATTTGTCTCATCTAATCACCGGATTTGCTATTGCGAATCGGACTGTTCATCACTTTGGCTGCTTTACCTCACGATAACCGGAGTAAAGAATGTGTGCAACTATGATATCGGATCGTCATTGAGTAGTCCGCGTCAATGGTTAATGGAGCAGTTGGACGGTTCAAAAAGTCCATCAGCTTTATGGCGTTTCTGCGCGTTCATTATTCCGCTTACTCCTGCCTTAGAGATTGTAAGGTAATTAATTCACCTTGGTAATTTCACCAGGCAACTAACTTTGACTATTTCATTGTTAACTTATAAATGATATACTTTGCAGCAGGTCGACCAACTTAATATGATTTTGATTTTGATGGATTTTTCGGGCGTTCTGATGATGCAGTACTAACCTTTCGGACGTACTCAGAGACAAGGAAACATTGTTGTGCCTGGTGTAGCTCTTAAACACAATAATTTACTTTTGAAATCCACCAATTGCAAGGTGATATGTGGTATATACTGCGTAGTTTGTTGCATCCGTTCTCATATAATGAACCACTCTGGGTATGTCATAAAAATCCGCTCGTTTCTAGCCATCTTTCTTTTTACTGTTGTTTTCCGTGTTCACGTTTCATCCGGCCTTGTGTGACTCATTTGTCCGCCGGTTATTCATGCTAAGAAGGTCACTATCGTGTCCCAGTGCTAGGTCGATTTACATTCGCTAATGGACCAATGAAGGCAGTACGTTTCAGAAACTCGCGTCAATTCATCATCGGGTAGCGAAACATAAATTCGCCCAACCGCTGCCTAGCTGGAGAACAAGAGACGTTAAAGGTGGAAGCGAATTGGCAAGCGCCACTGTTGATGTGAAGGCTGGATCGAAGTGTGATGCCATGTAGTGGCAAACAGGCACTAGGGTTCTTCAGAGTATAGTTTACAACCTAGTAGAACCAGATTGACGCGTCCCGACCAGTATCTGTGTTCATTATCATTTTACTCCATTAAGAGCCTCAAAAGAAACTCATTCGCTTTATAAACTATGTTTATACTGCAGGCACTTGTCTGTTGTGATCTACTCGGCCATTGCCATTCCATAATGTATTCTTGCTGCGTGTTCTCACCGGCTTGTCATTCACTCTGCATCGCGATTTTAACAATCGTGTCAACTCACTTGACTTAGCACTGAAAAACTGCCTTGGCTGAAACGATGCACTTTGTCCTCCCTATACCATTGCATTTGTCTGCTCGTGGGCAGCGTCACCCAGTACCAGCTACAAAACGACGGTACGAAATCATAGCACGATTGTTTGTTATTCACAGAGTCTTGGTGACTTCCTAAAATGTTTCCATTCTTTTAATGACCCGTCTCGATTAACTGATGGAGTTGCGCAGGTGTGCCTAGATTTCGTGCGACAGATATCTACCGATCGGTTTGCTATCTGTTGTTCCTGTGAGCATTGTAGTCCCTTCCTTCGGACACGCCTGTTTCACTTGATTGAAATGCTGCTTTTCTGTTCACTATTGCCAGGAATCCTTTTATCAGATTATCGTCTATTTCTGTTTGACGTCGACTACTCTTTTCATGTCTTCGCTTCTCACAGCTTTTCCCTGTATGCGGTTCTTTGTGCAGTCACATTGCTCCCCATAGAATGTCCGACAATGAAACATGTCTTTCGAAAATCCAACGCCGCCGAAATAGATTAGCAACAGAAGCAAAGTTTCTATCGATCTCCTCACACTTAATTTTCACACAGAAGGTAGATTTTGACCTTAAAGCTCCAATTTCCCCTATTCACATTTTACTCACGGGGTCATACGCCATGAGCTACCGATCATCCTGTACTGATCATGGATATTGCACGCACCTTTTGTCGATCGGCCGCACCTTATAAAAAGGATGGAATCCCGGTGGCTTTCTTACCTTTTATTATTGTTACTCGTCGTGCTTTTCATATTTGGAACCTTGTCGCATCACTGCACAGCCCCTCCTCAGACTTAGCTAACGTTAACACACATGTTCCCAAACATTTCCGCACTTAAATTGTATGTTCCTACCTCCAGTGTATTTGTGATTAATGTGGGTTGTACTGGAAGTGATTGCATCGCACGCCTACCTATTTAGGCTGCTGCAGCATATTGTTACCAACACTGGAACGCTATTCTATCTCCATTGAATACATTGATGTTTTGGGTTACTCCTTTTTGGAAAATCTAACCTGTGACCAAATGGAGGTCGCATTGCTTGTCCGCATCTTAAACATTGCATATTAATTCAAGCAAAATGTCTTGTATTGTCTTTCCACAATCTTATATTTTGATTCACAAACATCTCCGTTTGGTAGGTTCGAGCTGGACGAGATCGTCGAGGTCATTCGTCACGCACTGGGTTCCGCCAATCCTTCCGTTCGTACCGCTGCTATTCTTCTAGCGGGGACTGTGCACGTCAGCCCATCGAATGTGAAAGGCCGCTTGCGTGCCTTGTTGTCCGAGGAAAAGCCCGTACTTCTTAATCGTCTTGAGTCTGAGTTCGCTCGTTGCGAAGCTGATTTATCCGCTGGTAACACCACCACATCGGATGTTAGCCATGAGGCCTACCGTTCCTCTTCATCCACGCAGGAATCAGTGGAGCCAGGTCGTGCGGACACAACGTTTGCCGGTGGTAGCCAGTGTCGCCCTGTCGCTAAGGCCGACGAAACAGTGCACTCCGAAGATCTCACTTATGTGGAAGATGAACCGGCGCCCATGTGAGTGTTTTCGCACTCTACCATTATTATTCGACCTCATCTGTCACTAGACCTCTCACCAAACTCCATGTCTGATCCTACTTCCCTATTGGTAATAAGTGTTATCGTTCTCTGTTACTTCTGCCTGACTAACACGTTCTGTTGTTTCAGGAAGGGTGTCATCAACGCTCTGACTAACTCGAGACAAGTGGTACCCAAGCCTCTAGTCAATGTATTATTCTTCGTGGAACCTAACCAAACGGCCACTTTAATGGAGGCTAAGCAAGCACGTTTGGCCAAACTTACTAAGGTACAGAATCTACTCCAGAACTTCACACTCACCTTTCGTCTTTCGGCAAACTATTTCTATTGTGATCGTTTGTTACATCTTCTCGTTTACCCACTGTTCATCACAGACAATGTGCATCGACTCGGAGAAACTGCGCATCCTTTTTGCCGATGTGAATGCCAATCCACTGTTGATCCACTCCCTGTTCGCTCCGGATGTAGAATCGCGATTGGAATCGCTTGACAAATTGACCGTGAGTCTTGACCAGTCGGACGATGCAACAAGAGACCCTTCTCCACTAATCGTATCTTATGCTCATTTTGATCTCCTTTTGGCTTGGACCATTGGATGTTGCTTCGCTTACGGATCCATCTGCGATTCTATGACGCAGAATGTTATTCCCTCTTGGGCAGACAAGATTGCTCTAGCCACTCGGGGTAAGTCTGCATATCGCTTTTTTGTATATTTCTTACGTCGTGATCAACTCCAGCCCTTCTTCCCTCAGTTGTTGTTCTCGACACCGATGACTCGAAGTGGTCAAGGTCTGCTACGCTGTTATGTAGTCCATTGTCTTTCCTGTAGCACCCGAATTCCTCGTTGCCAATTCATCAACTAGCGGTTTATCGGGCTTCGCTTATAAACTCTACCGTCTTCATCAGCTGCGCCATTTTTCTCGACGGGCCACCGCAATCGATCCAGTCTTCTGTGAATATCTGCTTTCACATCCCATTTTATCTTTTTGGACTCGGGGTTAGCTAGAACGCATTTGAACAGATAACTCTCAAGAGCTTTTCCTCCCTTTTGATCGACGTACTTGCGCACTTAGCTCAACCCTCACTTCGAAATCGCTACTCCCCATCTATGTCGTCTTGATTGTTAAATTGTATTGGTAAGCGATTACCAGCGGATTAGCCAAGGTCTACTAAACTAGTGAACCCGAGTCTATCTCGATAGGCAGCCATTCAACTCAAATTGACCGGGCTACTTTTTACTTGGTTTGACTATCCTACTTATCTCGATAATTTGTTTGTAAACATCATCACCGAACGAGATGCTAGCCTTTACATGCATTTGGATGTTAGTACTCGTAAATCAGGGTAATCTGACTCTCGCTTAAGGTTTCAAGTAGACTCGAGCAACTCCAATTGGTCCTAGATTATACACAGACTAACATTCAAAGGGGACGCGATCTCCTGAAATGTAATTTACAAGCTTTAACGAATCTTTCGAGTGTTTCTACATCAGTTCATAAAGCATCGCCTGCTGTATCCGTTGAAAAACCACTCCAAGCAATCGACCGGTTCGTTTTTAATCGCTAACTGTATCAGCACTGGTGGTCACTTCACCGGGGTTACTGACAATCTCAATTAGCGACATTTTCTTCTTCTGTAACTACGGTAAGGCACGATATTCAGCACTTCCATTTGGCCATTCTGTGCACCAGGGACACCGGAGATTACTTCACTTTGGCAACCAGCTCCTGCGTAGCATTGCTTTTAGCCGTTGCGATCACCATTGCAGAAGTACTGTTTGTCGATTGTTCTTTTCCAATTGATCCTCTTATGCATCCTTAGACTCTCTTGCTCCTGAAACTCCATACGCTTACCGGATAGTTCACGCATTTGTGTAAAACCTAAGGCCTCGATGCATTCGAGAACCACATATTTCGTATTACTGGTGAGTAGGAGAATTTCAGTTGTACTTTTCAAGTCATTCATCCCAACTGCTCAAAACCTACATAGCTCAGCCTAGTACGGAAAAGCACCAGACGCGTTTCGCCCTATTGGAGCTCGTCAGTGGTGCGCATTCCCTCGGCCCCCTACTGGGGATCGAACCCATAACCGCTAGAGGCAAATGCCAACTAGCCAACAGCTTAAGCCGCTGAGATATGGAGGACGTCGGCTGGGCTACATAATTTGCAAACTAACTCGGATATAGCACCGCCTATTTTTAAAATGGTATGGCTATAGCGTCTAGCGAGAGGACGTCACGACTTTGCAGGTCAGCCACTGTCAGTGATAGTGGAAGATAGGCCGTGCTATATCCCAGTTAGCTTGCAAATTATGTAGCCCAACCGACTTCTCCCATGTCTCAGTGGCTTAAGCTGCTGGCTAGTTGGAATCTGCCTCTAGCGATAATAGGTTTGATCCCTGGTAAGGGGCCGAGGGAATGCGCACCACTGAGGAGCTCGAAAAGGGTGAAACGCATCTGGTACTTTTCCGTACTAGGCTGTGCTATGTAGCTTGTGAGCTGCTGGGATGAATTAAAAGTTACGTATTTATTTCTTTTAATTTTCTGGTTCTCTCTTCTTTATTATAGCCGTCCTATCACTTTGTAATAGGGGGGCGCTGGTTTGAGCCCGCGTAGGGGACCGCGCGTACCTCGCAGTATTCTTAGCCGATATGCGACAGGTGGTTGCGCGATTGCGAAGCGTCGGTACTGCATACTGCTGACACCTTCCCAAGGTCCAGATACTACGCTAATTTGTTTCGTTGACTATTCCTGATATCATGTTTACAACTGGATCTTGGCACTATGAAATGTGTGACAATCAGTTACCCATTTTCGAATACCACAACTTTATGAGAAATTGGAAGGGTCATCGAGGTGTGGGCTGCGTAAATTATCTGAAAAAATCGCTCAAATCAGTGATGATTAAGCGCTCTATGCATACGGACGTCCACGAATCATACTGATTTATGATTTCTGTTAGTCAACACCAGCTACTAATGGGAGGTAGGTACAGCGCACCAAACTGTATCCAAGCATACGTAGCACTTTAGATGCCAGTATTTGATTATGTTACAATCCTACCGTTTGAATTATAGACTACCGGAGATAATTCCGATACTCCATCGATTATTTGGTCGGTGAAAACCACTCCTTTGAAATTCCGTAATCTCCTCTCTTGTATTCATAGGAATGCCTGGCAGCAAAACGTTCTCAACCTACCAGAGGTAAGAGTACTTTGGCCATCGCAATGAGGCTGGACCTTACCGTGGTGCGATGGTTTGTGTACCTCAGCAATCCATTGTGCTATCCTGGGTGGTGCTTTTGCACCTTCAGAGTCACTCATACCAGATTGGTCAATGGTTAGAGGCCAGACAAACTCAGCCTCCTAGTCCTCCAGATTGGGGGTTGGAATGAGGGTGGCACCTTATTCCTTAAAACGGGCTCTTTGTATCCCAACGCGAAAGCTGCTGCCTTGAGACCAGGTTTTTGAACCAAAGGCTTTGGTTGAGAACCCTAATCGTTCTCCTGTCTAGGCTTGGTAAACCTGGCAGTATTCTGCCCACACAATACTATGAATCCCACTTCAAACAATTTCTTGATGCTCTGACCACCGCAGAGGATAATCAACGGTGCCCTATCTGCTGCATCAAGCAGGGTTGATAGGGGTTTGGATGTTACTGCTCAAGCCTTCCCGTCTTCTTATTCCCCCCTTACGCTCTTTCACTCTTATCGTCCCGTTCCAACTTCACTTATATCCCCCAGTTTTCGACCCTTCTATTCTAGACCCTCCCCAAACATGCTTTGCTAGACATTTTTCTTCTAATTTCAACTCACATGCTAAAGCGGTGCGTCATTCTTCTCCTGTCGACAAGCCCGTGTCCAATCAAGCGGTCCATTCCAGTTTATCGGCTTGCATTTGGAGCCCCCGATCCTCCTTCAGATTGGCACACTTCAATGAAGGCACATTACTACAGATCGGTCAACAGGCAGCACATTCCCGACAATTGGAGAACCGCTCGATCGGTATCTGCTGCTTACCAGCGACTCGCCTGCAAGACTGGAGCTCTGTGCTCACTCTGCGAGCCCCTTCAAGTGCCGTAAGCGGCATTTTCTCACTGCGCTTATCCGGTGATAATGCAGCTGCGAGCACCGGCCAAGCTGGTGTTTTTATTGCCCTGAGTCCCCGGGCTGAAGCTACTCTGGTTGACTGGGTTCCAATCAGTAGCCGTTGTTTGCCGTCCCATCGGCTGGCTCCTTCAAAGCTTCGAAGTCGCGCGGGACTAACAGGTGTCCATTCATCATCGCTGCATACGCGCACACAAACTGTAGCGATGATTCGGTAAAGAACGACTTCTACCACCAACTGACCCAGCTCCTTCGCCACAGAAGAAGCACGGACACTGTTGTGTTGGCTGGGGATCTGAACGCGCAAGTTGGAAAGTTGTCCACTGATGAAATGCATTTGGGCGGTCAGCACTGTGTAGGCTCCTGTAATGATAACGGTGAGCGGTTACTTCATTTGTGTGAAGATGCTCGCTTATTTCTTGCGAGCACTAACTTCCGACACAGCACCCGCCGGAGTGTGACTTGGCGCCCACCAACCTCGAACCAGCCTTGCACGCAGATCGATCACATTGCGATAAGTTACCGCTGGAGAGGCTGCATCCAGAATTGTCGCTCGATTTGGAGCACATGTGTGGACACCGATCATGCACTTGTATGTGCTGACATTCGGATGCGTTTTGGCGGACGCCCACGACGACGCTGTGAGCGTATTGACACCAGCCAACTGACAAAACCAGCTGTTCTGAGTGCGTATCGAAGTACGCTAACATGCGAGTTGAGCAAGCGCTCACAGGAGACAATTGATGGTCACTGGTCACATGTTTACCAGACCTTACTAGCAGCAGGCAAATCCTCATGTGGTATGTCTAATAGCCAACATGGTTATTGAGTCTCTTCACAGTCTCTAGAACTTATCGATGCTCGCCAGCAAATTCCGGCTGGAAGCGAACACAATGGAACTCGCAAAGAGCTCCGTGCAAGACCGCGAATGTTGGTTGTCTCTTCGTACGTCAGAGATGGAAGTGGCCGGTGCCGTTGGCAACCATCGTAAGTTATTCTGTCTGATACGGGAAACGGGCAGCAGGAGACCTGGTGTTAGTGAAACTATACGTGACGGTAGTGAACACTCTATCCACAATTTGTCAAAACGCTTGGAGCGTTTGGCGGAGCATTTTGAAAAGCTATTTGATCGGCTAGAATTGTTCGCTTTTTCGCCGGCCAGTGATCGCTGTGCTCCGTGGGTTGTCCCTTTGGATCCACCCTCTCGCTCAGAAGTCGAACGTGAGATCGGACTGTTGAAGTTGAACAAAGCCGCGGGACCAGATGATCTTCCTCCAGCCCTCCTCAAATTCGGATGCTCTGCTCTTGTTGATGCTTTACATGAATTACTAGTGAAACTGTGGGAGCAGGAGACTGTCCCAACCGATTGGAGCCGCTCTGTTATTGTTCCCATCTTCAAAAGAGGCTCGCGTTCGGAATGCGGCAACCATAGAGGAATCAGTCTGATCTCCTCGCCTCCAAATTGCTTGCCTCCATAATCCTTCACAGACTCACTAGCGCTCGTGAAAGCCAGATTCGTGAGGAGGAAGTCGCGATCCGTCGGGGTTGTGGCTGCATCGACCACATCTTCAACTTGCGT